AAGGAAGGAAGGAAGGAAGGAAGGAAGGAAGGAAGGAAGGAAGGAAGGAAGGAAGTCACCAAAGAGGGTTTGGGTTAGAGTTCTCCATGATATGCCCCCCTCTCTAGGTAACTGCATATCACAGTCCAGAAGGTGCCATCTGAATCCCAGGGATGCCCTGTAGGATCTTCCTCAGTAGATCTCCTGTACCTCATGCCCCTCTAGCCTCCCCCCAGCTGATGCACTACCTCAAGAACACGGGACAGCATACAGGACAAGAGTCCCAAGCCCTGTGGACTTTACACTTAAAACACCAGAATATCTGGTCCCAGGAAGCAGCCCAGTCAGACACTTAAAGCCTGTCACACACCATTGTGACTTTGCTCTGGGGACCTTGTGTACTGGGTCTTCCATACTGCCTGAAGTCAGGCAGAGCCTGGCTGCAAGAGACCCGAGATGGGCAGAAAGGCTGGCAAAGACATGGAAGACAAAGCTGGGGATTTGGGAGAAGGCCAGGTGGAAGCAGGAAACACAGATGCATTAGGGCTTACTGCACTTCTAGCAGAGTAGATGGTGGCTGCCTTTTGAAGAAGGAAAATGTGCTAGCTGTTGGTCACTTCTGGAAAGGTAGCCTCAGCTTTGTGATTAGAGGATGTGTGTCCATGGTGGCTAAGCTGTCTTTTCGCCAGGGAGACTGCTGTTTCTTGAGAATTTGGCTATGTCAGTCATCGTGCCAATGGAACCAGAGCAACACCCAGAAAGAAGCAGGGGCAGCATGAGTCTCTAGGAGCAAGGAGCCCTGAATGAGGATGAACATCACCTGGGCAATGCTGGATACTGAGGAAGCCCCCCCCCCACCCCATCCCCCTGCACTATGAACATGTGGAATGGTCTGTGTGATTACCAGTCAGTCGCCATTTTTCTTCCTCGCATATTCTTGTAATACACTGGAGATCAGAGGGGGTGGGTCAGCTCTGCCACCGTACTAAGCTTGGTCCCAGCAGAAGCCTGTTTCTATCACTGCCTCCTCTGCAGATTTTGATTTAGGTAAACACTGCACAGGTGAAGAATTAAAAGAGAAGGTGCTTACTCACATACCCCTACCTGGTGTCAAGATTTCCTGTGCTGGCCCTGCTTCAATAGCCCCACCAGGTGGAGGCTAAGGGGATAGCACGCAACAAGGCCCTGTGGTAGTAGGCAGCAAGGGAAGTGGGGTGGGGGGGGGGGGGCAGGGATTTGTGCCATTTGCTGAGACTGGAGAGGCCAGTGGGACACTCGCCAGGAATTGAAAGCCAAATAATGGAATGTGGTAGCCAGACCTACGTTGGTATGGTAATGGCTTTCTTCCTAAAAGCAAAAATCCTCTTCAGATTTCTTTTGACTGGCAAAAACAAGTGCTAAAGTAGATCTTTTGTAAAAGCAAAGTGGCATAATGCAAACTTCCGGAAAGCAGGGGATACCCTCGGTTTACACCATTCTGACTTATGAAAGGTTTCATGGGAAAGTTCTGATTGCAGCTCGTGGGGAAACCTATATCCTAAGAGCAATGGGAAGCCATGGCAGAACTTTAGGCAAAAGGACAAGTTTTTTTTCAAAGAGAGATATGTCTGACTGCACACTGGGGAAAGGACTGGAGGTGGGGACACCAGGAGAGGATGAGAGATAAAGGTTACCAGTACTGGGGAAGAGGTAGTGGGAATGAAGAAGAGACACAACTGGTAGATGTTTGGAGGTTGAACCAGAAGGATATGGAGATGCTGTTAAGGAGAGAAGTGGGCAGAGGGTGGAAAGCATCACAGATGACACTCAGGTCAGCTCTGGAGCCAGGCCCTGGGCTTCCCTGCCTCCCCTGTTTCTTCTTCTGTCCATAGCCAGTATGCTCTTTCCCCAAATTGTCCAGGTCTGTCCACAGACAGTGTGTACTTATTTCCTCCTCCACAGGACAGAGCAGAGAGACGGTCTTGGGCAAGGTCAAAAAGAGAACAGGCCACCCAGATGGCTGAAATCTGCTTGCTACTTGAGTAAGAGTATGCACATGTCCCTGAGTGTATAAGGGTCTGGGTATGTCTGTGTTTCTGTGCCTGACTTTATACGGTCATTTCAAGGCCATGACTAGCAGTGCCAGCCTGTTTAAGGACTGAAGTTAAACGTTACGAAAAAATTGTGCCGCATAAGTAATCTTCTACAGAGATGGTCCCCACTTTCTATGGTTCAGCACGGACTGTCTCTACTGGGCTAGAGTTTCTTCCAAGTCTTGGGGTGTAAGACATCTGGCCCCTGGAGAAAAGCTTTAAAAAAAAAAACTCGAAAAACTAAATTCTCCCTTCTCATTTCTCTGTCAGCAGCTATTTATTTGAATAGACTTTTTACCTCTTCCCCATTGTTTATACTCCCCACTTCCTGGGGGCGGGGGGGAAGGGAGATGCTAACAAGAGTGGAACAGATAAGTTGTTCATCCCCCAAACCAACGTTTTTGCCCTGGAGATCAGAGGACCCAAGAGTTTTTCCTCCCTTTCTCCACTCTGCTGGCTGCGTGGGTGGACGTGGGGCTGCTGACCAGCATCAGGGGGAAAGAGAGAAGAGAGACCAGTCTGAGTTTGGGTTCCCCAGCCACCCAGGGCACAGACATACCCTGGGGGACTCACATTCCGGTAGTGGGACTGCCTAAAGACCCCTGCAGCTGCAGTAGTCAGAGAGTAGACCCACCTTCAGCACAGTGCCACTCCCTGGACACTGGACACCATCACATGCCCAAACACTCAAACATACCCAAGCTGGGACCTGTTCCCTCCTAGGTAGGTCTGGAAAAGTTTTGCTCATTTCCTTTCTAGGATGGTTTCTAAGGTCTCTAGTCCTCAGACTTAGGTCACTACCTCTGCGCTGGTCACTCCTGCCACCTGGAAAAGGTTCCAAAGGTGAAGCAGCTCCAGGGGGTGCCAAGGTTCACAGCAGAACCTTGGGAGGCTGGGGATGAAGGAGTTTGGTCAGAAACTCTGAAGCCTCTCAGTGGCAGAGCTTCCAGAAGATGCCATCCCCATTTGTGAGGTGTGTGAAGGGAGTTGGTTCCTGGAGAAGGCAGCTAGGGTGAAGGCCTGAGGCTAAAATGGAGGTGGGGCCTTCAGAAGAACCCAAATGCCAGGGCTTTCCTTAGGACCCATACCTCTGACTTCGATGAAGATGGGGCTTCCACACTGAGGCAGAAGGGACCCTAGCCAACAGCTCAGCCAGCAGCTCTGGGAGGAATGTTGCTGGGATGGGGGATGGGGTGCTATGCTGCCCTAAAAATGACTTAATTTCCTTCCACTCGAATAGCTTACTGAGTTCCTGTTCTGTTCAGTAAACTGTCCCTGACCCCCCAGATGGTTGCTCAGTTCACGTCCCAAAAGTCCCTCCATTCAGACCGTAGGGAGCAATAGCATTTCCTGAGGAGGGAGGTCTTTCCTGAGACACACTGGGGAAGACAGGGGTAGGAGCACCCCTGACAGTTCCCAGTTCTGACTGGAGTCCCCAGGGGACAGACATGCAGGCAAGGGAGTAAAGTAGGGGAGAGAGAGGTCAGGGGCAGAGGGCCTCTTCCTGAATGCAAAGTCCACAAGGTTAAACCCTCATTTCCAGAGACTTCTTCCTCCCACCCCCACCCCCACATGGCTCAGCACTAGGAAACCGAGAGCCCAGAGACACTTGCGTGCAGCCCTCAGGGTGGCCGGTGCAGGATGCAGGCAGGTGGGGACATAATGTTGATGAGAGAGGCCTCAGAGCCCAAGGCTACACTCTGAAAGGAGCAACCCACGCCTTCTCTCTTGGAGAACAAAGTTAGAGGCAGAGCAACCTGGGTCAGCCCCTCAGAGCGCTGGGAGTGGGGTGAGGGGTAAGAACAGAAAGCCCGCCCCTCTGGTGAAGCCCTGTAGGCTGGGGCAGGGGGGCGGAGGGAGGGGAGGGCGTGCCTTCGCCTGGCGGCCAAGCTGCTCGGCGTCGCGGCTTTCCGCGGCTGGGTCTGAGGTCCTGTGACTCGGGTTCTCCCCTTGCGAGACCGCACCGCCGCGTGACCCGAGTCGACGGTAGGGACTCCATCGTCGCCCTCTGCCCCTGTCGCCCCCTCAGGCTCTCGAGACCGGCCCCTGCCCACCTGTCCGGCTCGTGCAACATGCGGCCCCTGGGCCTCGATGGTACCTCCCCGCCCTGCCGGCGACCTCTGCTGCGTCTGCTGCTCCTGCTGTCGCTGCTGCCGCCGCTGCCCTTAACGCGCGCCCAGACCGCTCAGGGAACCCCCAGCGCCCCCACCACGCCTGCCACCTCCAGCACCCCAAGTCTGCGGAATCGCGCGCGGGCTCTGATGCGAGACTTCCCTCTCGTGGACGGGTGCGTAAGTGCAATGTGGGGGCAGGTGGAGACTGAGCCGACCCCGTGGCAGGTCTAGAGGTCCTCATGCAGGGCTCCTAAGGAAGCCCCTTCACATCACCCCCTGGATTCAGTCTCCCATCATCCGTGGGTGCCTTTTCCCTTCCTCTGCCACTCCCTCCCTGGTGGGAACTCCCCAGCCTAGGCCTCGAGGGGTCCTACTATAGTCTGTGACAGTGTGGTGTGGGGGACATCCTCCCCCCCCCATTGCTGGCCCCATGTCCTGCCTAATCCCAAGGTCTAAGGAGCCCACCCATTTCCCCCTGACTTGACCTTGCCTTCCTCTCCCTCCAGCCACAATGACATGCCCCTTGTCCTGAGGCAGTTTTATGGCAACAGGCTACAGGATGTTAATCTGCGCAATTTCAGCCATGGCCAGACCAGCCTGGACAGGCTTAGAGACGGTCTCGTGGGTGCCCAGGTATCACAGGGACACATAGCATGGCTGAGAGGGAGTGTGGGGGCCCCAGAAACCATGAGTTAGTCACATGGAAACTCAGTTATCATAGGGCCCCCCAAAATTCTACAACATGGATGCTGGGGGCTACAGGGGTTGCAGTGAACCAGTTTGCTGGGCATCCAAGTACCACCAAACAAGCAATGCATCACATGTGACCCCATTTGCTGTGTGGGCTGTGGAGGCTATGAGAAGTCCAGGGAGCTCCAACCCCTGGCCTTCCCCCAGTTCTGGTCAGCCTACGTCCCATGCCAGACCCAGGAAAGGGATGCTGTGCGCCTCACCCTGGAGCAGATTGACCTCATTCGCCGCATGTGTGCCTCCTATTCTGAGTTGGAGCTTGTGACCTCAGTTAAAGGTAGGTAGACTGGTGGGGGGTGTTGGGGACTTGATTGAGATACCCCAGCCTCTGAAAGTGATCATCTGACCTACCTGCCCCCAGCTCTGAACAATACCCGGAAGTTGGCTTGCCTCATTGGTGTGGAGGGTGGCCACTCGCTGGACAGTAGCCTTTCCGTCTTGCGTACGTTCTATGTGCTGGGTGTGCGCTACCTGACGCTCACTCACACCTGCAACACACCCTGGTGAGCACAGTGCAGATGGTATGCACCCACTGATGCAGTGATCTGCCCAAGATCACACTGGGGCTCAGACCAAGCTTTACCCCTGGGATCTGGCACTGACCCGGGGGGGGGGGGGGGGGGGGGAGCAGGGGTTTGCAAAGCAAAACTGGATCCCAGTAGGGACTCCCTCCTGCCAGGCCCAGCCCAACTTGGGTCCCTACTGTTGCTCCAGGGGGTTGCAGGTATAGAGAGTTCAGTAGGCTCTTGTGGCCAAGTCATGGCCACCATTCAGACTGTCTCCTGGCCATCCTGCAGGGCAGAGAGCTCATCTAAGGGCATCCATCCCTTCTATAGCAGTGTCAGCGGGCTGACCAGCTTTGGTGAGGTGAGGACCCTGATTCCATACCCCGCCCCGCATGAATGTGCATGCCCCACCAGTTCCTACAGATAAATGCACGCACATGTGCACCCCAGACGCCCTTTCCCTAACCTGTCTCTGCAGAAAGTGGTGGTTGAAATGAACCGCTTGGGCATGATGGTAGATTTGTCCCACGTCTCTGACACTGTGGCACGGCGAGCCTTGGAAGTGTCACAGGCACCTGTGATCTTCTCCCACTCAGCTGCCCGGGGTGTGTGCAAGAATGCCAGGAACATTCCTGATGACATCCTGCAGCTTCTGGTGAGAGACTACCCTGACTCTCAAACCTAAAACAAAAGGTTTAAACCAGGAGTCCTTGAACCTGAACCCCTGTTCCCTCAACTTTCTCAAACCCTAGGCTGAACATCTTCTGCCCTCACAAACCCACAGTCCACAGCCCGTGAATTCTTGAACCCAGGTGTGGGGGGTTCTAAGTGGTAAATACTCCTCTACTCTATAAGCCCCCCATGGTCAAGACATTTCCACACCAACCAGAGCTGAGACTCCTCCATTCACATAATCCTAGAGTGTAGAAAGGTAAAGTCTCCTCTGACTTCAAAACCAGAGCTGAACACATTCCTCACAGGAGCCTAGAGGCAGGTGGTTGCTCTGGGGGCCAAGCTGAGTGTCCATTTGTCCACCCCTGCAGAAGAAGAATGGTGGTATCGTGATGGTGTCTTTGTCACCGGGGGTGCTGCCGTGCAACCTGCTAGCCAATGTGTCCACTGTGGCAGGTAAGCCCTACCTGGGCTCTCTGAATAGCTCTGATTTGGACCCGAAGCCTTGGGGAGAGGGCCTCAGAACAGCCCCAGTGGTCTGACTCATTGTTGGCCGTAGACACAGTGCCCAAAAACTCAATGATGGACAGTATAAAGCATCTTGGTGCCATGTGGAACTGAAGATACAGAATTGATACTACATACTGATGGGTAGAAAGGAGGCAGTCAGACATAGAGCCCAGGTGCCAACCATCTGTGCTTCTCTAGGGGCTCATAAAGTTCCCTGCCCCTGCCTCTGGCCAAGGGATTGGGCAGCCCCTTAAGTCTCTTTGGTCTTTATCAGTTATATTCTTTATCCATCTCTCATCCTCCACACCCATGGAAAGGGGCCCCCATGGTTCTCAAGGAGACTGAAGGCAAGGTGAATCCTGAATGAGAAATGGCCAACTGGGGTCCACTCCAAATCTAAATTCCAGTCTAGAGCCAACTGGAATCTACCTCCTCAAGTTGGCACACTGGGTGCCAAGCCATGAAGGAATTGGCCTCCATAGCCTACAGGCTGCAAGAAGGGGAATCAGTAGAGACCAGTCCCCACCTCACCCCTGTCCTAGAAGCCCCACACTGCTGACCCTTCATCCCCCAGATCACTTTGACTACATCAAGGCAGTCATTGGATCCAAGTTCATTGGGATTGGTGGAGATTATGATGGGGCTAAACGGTAAGTGCTTCTCTGGGGCTTCTCTGGGGCTAGCTGTGCCACAGTAGGGCCTTGATAGTCACCATGCCCACCACACTGTGATCCTCATGGACTTTAGGCCCACCTGGCATCTTCCCACACACAGAGTGTGTTTCTGTTTGTCTGTGACCCATTGGTCCCACCCCTAGGTCATGGTCTGCCCACCCTTAGTGCCCCACCCTTAGTTCCAGCAGACCCACTGCCTTTTTTTTTTAAGTTTTATTTATTTAAGTAATATCTATACCCAATATGAGGTTCAAACTCATGACCCCGAGATCAAAAGTCACATGCTCTTCCTACTGAGCCAGCCAAGTGCCACTGACCCACTGCTTCTGAGCAGACTGTTAGCAAGGTCTGGTGTGGACTGACCAACTCCTCTGCCTACAGCTGGGTCTTAAAAAGCTTTCCTTCTAGGGGCGCCTGGGTGGCTCAGACAGTTAATCGTTCTACTCTTGATTTCAGCTCAAGTCACAATCTCACTCTTTGTGGGTTTGAGCCCTGCATTGGGCTCTGGGCTGATGGTGCGGGGACTGCTTGGGATTCTCTCTCTCTCTCTCTCTCTCTCTCTCTCTCTCTCTCTCTTTCTGTCCCTCTCTCTCTGTCCATGCTCTCTCTCTTTCTCTCAAAATATATAAATAAACTGAAAAATAAATAAATAAAAGCTTTTCTTCTTTTTATAAATGGAGGAAAACCTTGCATTCCGTGAAAGGCATAGATCCAAAAAGTATAATTCGATGAGTTGTTATGAATATTCAAAGAGGTTGGGAGTTTCCTTCTGCAGGATGAAGAACAGGGGTGAATCACTTACTCTCTCCAAGTATCCATTTCCCGTGTCAGACAAGGGCTGGGATTCAGTAGTCCCTGGACACATAAGGCTGTGGTTTTGAGTCATGAACAAGGAACAGGGCTGAGGTTCCACAGCTGACTGGCTCACAACCATATAGGTTCCCTCAGGGGCTGGAGGACGTGTCCACATACCCAGTTCTGATAGAAGAGTTGCTGAGTCGTGGCTGGAGTGAGGAAGAGCTCCAGGGTGTCCTTCGTGGAAACCTGCTGCGGGTCTTTGGACAGGTGGAACAGGTATGCTGGGCTGGACAAAGGAGTAGGTCAGGGGCCTGAGCAAGTGTGTTGGGGCTGCTGTGTGAACTGCTGACCACTGACTGCCACCTCCAGGTACGGGAGACAAGCAAGGGGCAAAGCCCCTTGGAGGATGAATTCCCGGATGAGCAGCTGGGTAGTTCTTGCCGCTCTGTTCTCTCACGTCTGCCTCAGACACGGTATCTGGCTCGAGACCAGATACCGAGACCAGATACTGAGACTTCGGCACATTGGGCACCTAAGTGTTCACCTAAACAGTTATTGTCAAAATCTTCCCCCAACGTGGCCCCAAGCCTCACAGTTATTGCTGCCTTTTCAGTCCTCATTCTGTGGCTCTGGTGACCCAGTTAATCCTACCAGATGTTACTATGGCAGTTGCAGATACCCCACATTGCCCTCCTCGCCCCCCCCCCCCATCATGCAGACAGACACATTTCCTGAAAATAAATGTTTTACACATGGAAACAGGCATGAGTGTCCTTCTCTGTGGCGGGGTCTGGTGGTGCCAGCTCCCAATTCTGGTAGCTGGTGGAGGAACCTGCAGTTCAGCCACCATTTACTCTAGCAACACCTGAGTCTCACTAGCATGGCCTGAGAAGGCCCAGATGGTTGGGCTCAGCACTAGAAGAAGACAATGAGTAGCTCTGGCTGTGGGAGAGTGGACCTTCCTCTGGGATGCCTCTCAATAGCTCACCTCAGTCCACATCCTGACCCACTGACCACCACCTGGGGATCTTGAAGGGAACTCTGGTTCATATTCCCAAGAAAGGAACCTGCCTGGATCACAAATGATCTTTGTTCCTGTTTGGATAGAGCCCAGAATGCCAGGCTACAGGATAGTACATGGGCTTCCAATGACTGAACTTCCCTGGATATAGATCCACTCCTTGCCCTGCCCCTCAGGGACTTCCTTTCTGAGAGGCACAAGCTACTTAGACAACCACACTATCTTACCCCCAGGCAATTAATGGCAATAGCAACTCTGTTAATTATAGCCAAAATTAAGAGTTAATACTAAGGACAACACTAATAATAATAAATAACATGATAATAGATAATGGCTAATAAAAATAATAGTTAATACTACTAGCCTATGCATACCCCATGACTGAGCAGTTTTGCCCCAGGTATATATCGCAACAGGAATGCATACATAGGTTTTCCAAAAGGCATACGAAATAATATTTAAAGCAGTGCTGCTCATAATAACCCCAAACTGTGTAATTTAAAGTTAGACTGCAAGAAGAAAAAGACAGGAGATTGTCTTAAAAACAGTCATATTTTTAAAAAATCATATTAATTTGAGGAACAGCAATAAAACTGACAAATGAGTTTTTTTTTAATATATGAAATTTATCGTCAAATTGGTTTCCATACAACACCCAGTGCTCATCCCAAAAGGTGCCCTCCTCAATACCCATCACCCACCCTCCCCTCCCTCCCACCCCCCATCAACCCTCAGTTTGTTCTCAGTTTTTAACAGTCTCTTATGCTTTGGCTCTCTCCCACTCTAACCTCTTTTTTTTTTTTCCTTCCCCTCCCCCATGGGTTTCTGTTAAGTTTCTCAGGATCCACATAAGAGTGAAACCATATGGTATCTGTCTTTCTCTGTATGGCTTATTTCACTTAGCATCACACTCTCCAGTTCCATCCACGTTGCTACAAAAGGCCATATTTCATTTTTTCTCATTGCCACGTAGTATTCCATTGTGTATATAAACCACAATTTCTTTATCCATTCATCAGTTGATGGACATTTCGGCTCTTTCCATAATTTGGCTATTGTTGAGAGTGCTGCTATAAACATTGGGGTACAAGTGCCCCTATGCATCAGTACTCCTGTATCCCTTGGATAAATTATAAATTTATATAAATTATAAATATAAATATAATATATTTTTATATTATATAATATAAATATAATAAATAAATATAATAAATATATAATAATAAATATATTATTATATTTATATTATATTTTATATATTTTATATTTATAATATATATAAAATATATATATTTTATATATTTATATATAAATAAATAAATAAATAAATATAATAAATATAAATATAAATATATAAATTATAAAAAATAAATAGCACCTAGCAGTGCTATTGCTGGGTCATAGGGTAGGTCTATTTTTAATTTTCTGAGGAACCTCCACACTGCTTTCCAGAGCGGCTGCACCAATTTGCATTCCCACCAACAGTGCAAGAGGGTTCCCGTTTCTCCACATCCTCTCCAGCATCTATAGTCTCCTGATTTGTTCATTTTGGCCACTCTGACTGGCGTAAGGTGATATCTGAGTGTGGTTTTGATTTGTATTTCCCTGATGAGGAGCGACGTTGAACATCTTTTCATGTGCCTGTTGGCCATCCGGATGTCTTCTTTAGAGAAAGTGTCTATTCATGTTTTCTGCCCATTTCTTCACTGGGTTATTTGTTTTTCGGGTGTGGAGTTTGGTGAGCTCTTTATAGATTTTGGATACTAGCCCTTTGTCCGATATGTCATTTGCAAATATCTTTTCCCATTCCGTTGGTTGCCTTTTAGTTTTGTTGGTTGTTTCCTTTGCTGTGCAGAAGCTTTTTATCTTCATAAGGTCCCAGTAATTCACTTTTGCTTTTAATTCCCTTGCCTTTGGGGATGTGTCGAGTAAGAGATTGCTACGGCTGAGGTCAGAGAGGTCTTTTCCTGCTTTCTCCTCTAAGGTTTTGATGGTTTCCTGTCTCACATTCAGGTCCTTTATCCATTTTGAGTTTATTTTTGTGAATGGTGTGAGAAAGTGGTCTAGTTTCAACCTTCTGCATGTTGCTGTCCAGTTCTCCCAGCACCATTTGTTAAAGAGGCTGTCTTTTTTCCATTGGATGTTCTTTCCTGCTTTGTCAAAGATGAGTTGGCCATACGTTTGTGGGTCTAGTTCTGGGGTTTCTATTCTATTCCATTGGTCTATGTGTCTGGTTTTGTGCCAGACAAATGAGTTTTAATGGAAATAATAGAAATCCATACACAGTGGAATATCTTTAGCCTGATGAATGAAAGTAACTACCAATGTTCCATTCTATGCACAGTGAAAATATTCTTCAAACATGAAGGGAAAGTAATACATTTTCAGACCAATAAAAGCACAGTGAGAAATTGAAGATATACAAATCATGAGGCACCTGGGTGGCTCAGTCAATTAAGCATCTGACTTCACCTGAGGTCATAATCACATGGTTTGTGAGTTTGAGCCCCGAGTCAGGCGCTGCGCTGACAGTTTAGAGTCTGCTTCGGACTCTGTCTCCCCCCCACCCCCTCTCTGCACCTCCCCTGTTTATGCTTTCTCTCTCTCAAAAATAAATAAATAAACATTTTTAAAAAACGTATATAGGAACACATTTTTCCTTTTGCCTCAGCCTCCAAATTGGCTGTACTCTGCAGTGTACTCAGAAAGTTCTAATAGTGTTTTCTATTCATTTTACCTATTCCCTCTTTTCTTGACTTCTTTTGGGTGGATTAAGTAGCACTCTGAGATGGCCTTAGTCCCTTTACAGACCCTTTCAAGGGGAGCTGATCCAGCTCACTGTCCATTTAGGAAAAAATGGGAAAAGGTGGTAGAAGATAGAAGCTTACAGCAGGGCCCTGTGTTGCTAGGGAGCAGACCTCTAAGGACAGGGCCCTGTGAGGTGGTGCAAGTGTTCTAAACATGAGTTGGCAAGGCTACTCGATGACAGCCAGAAGTTGCAGACTGCAGCCAACTGTCACTGTTGGAACAGGAAAACCTCTTTCAGTTTGCTCTGTCGCCCCTATTGACAGAATGTAACAGGAAACCAGCTAGGCTTCTAGGAAATGTGGTTTTGAGAGTTTGAGCACCAGGGGCACCTGGGTGGCTCAGTCAGTTAAGTGTTGGACTCTTGATATCAGCTTAGGTCATGATCTCACAGTTGGTTCTCATGGGTTTGAGCCCGGAGTTGGGCTCTACACTGACAGTGAGGAGCCTGCTTGGGATTCTGTCTTTCTCTCTCTCTGCCCCTCTCTTGCCCAATCTCTCTCTCTCTCCCTCTCAAAAATAAATAAGCATTAAAAAAAATAGGGGTGTCTGGGTGTCTCAGTCAGTTAAGCATCTGACTCTTGATTTCGGCTCAGGTCATGATCTCACGGTTGGTGAGTTTGAGCCCCACATAGGGCTCTACACTAACAGCACAGAGTCTGCTTGGGATCCTCTCTGTCCCACTCCCGCTTGTGCGTGCTTTCTCTTTCTCTCAAAATAAATAAATAAACTTTAAAAATATTATTAAGGGACACCTGGGTGGCTCAGTTGGTTGTCTGACTTCAGCTCACGTCATGATCTCGTGGTTCAAGAGTTTGAGCCCCACATTGGGTTCTCTGCTGTCAGCACAGAGCCTGCTTTGGATCCTCTGTCCCCTTTCTCACTGCCCCTCCACCGCTCATTCTCTCTCTCTCCCTCCCTCCCTCTCTCTCTTTCTCTCAAAAATAAGTAAACTTTAAAAATATGTTTAAAAAATAGGAAGAGTTTGAGCCCCAGCCTCACAGAGCTGAGAACAGAAGACTGCATCTGGAGTTGAGAGACAATTGCTTAATAACCAGAATTGCTGCAGACCTGGAGTAGAAGGCCCTAATTCCAATTCATTCTTTCTCCTAGGTACATTTTTTTGTGTTCCAACTCAAAACTAAGTGTTCATCAGGATTCTCCTTATTCTGGTGGACCCTGGACACTAACCTCTGCCTCTTTAGAGCACCACACCCCTAGTAGAAGAACTAGCCCAAAAGTTGGGCTCATCTCTAGGTTTCCACTTTCCTTGGATCCTCATCAAGTAATTTTTTAATATCTTGTTTAACTTTCTGATGTCTTCAGGAAGATCCTTTTTATATTTTGCCCAACATTTCCAGTTATCAGGAAGAGTATAACTCTGATTTACTTAGTCAACCAAAATCAGACATGTGAAATGGTGTTTATTTATTAATTCAATAACATTAAAAATCCATCATAGGGGCAGTTAGGTGGCTTAGTTGATTGTGCATCCAACTTCAGCTCAGGTCATGATTTCTCAGTTCATGGGCTAGATAGAGTCCCACATCGGGCTCTGTGCTGACAGCTCAGAGCCTGGAGCCTGTTTCGGATTCTGTGTCTCCCTCTCTCTCTACCTCTCTCCCCCCACCCAAAAATAAATAAACATTTAAAATAAATAAATAATAAATAAACTTAAAAAATCAATTATAAACATTATGCTCCGTACTTTCACCTAAGACTATTACAGGAAACAGCTGTATGTGCAATACTTCTGAACTTTTGATAAAGTTTTGAATTAACAAATTCATCATTCACTATATTGTTTATATCACTTAAATGAAGACCTCCCCTGGCAAGTCAGCTTGGTATATGAGACCAGAATAAACATTCCCTCTCTTTCTCCCTCTCTTCTGAGATAGCCAAAGCTGAAGGCAGCAGGGTCAGACTTAGT